AGAGAGAAACATCGACGTGAGAGGGAACACATCCACTGGTTGCCTCCTGCACCACCCAGACCAGGACAGGGGATGAACCACAACTGAGGTACATGTCCTTGGCTGGAATTGAACCCGTGACTCATTGGTCCAAGCGATGATGCTCTAACCACTGAGCCAAACTGGCCAGGGCAACTGTTGTCATTTTTTAAATTGCTGTTTGTTTTAGAAAGAAAGTAAGGGGCGGGGGGAGAGAGAGAGAGAGAGAGAGAGAGAGAGAGAGAGAGAGAGAGAAACATCAATGTGAGAGAGGAACATCAATTGGCTGCCTCCTGCACACCGACTACAGGGGAAAGAGCTCACAACCTGGGTATGTGCTGATTGGGAACGGAATCTGTAACCCCTCAGTGGATGGGATGATGCCCAATCCACTGAGCCACACCTGCCAGGGCTGTTGTTATTTTTTAAATTAGAAAATCTAAGGGAAAGAGGTCAGTGCCCTTGACTGAATAGTCAGGTCTTGCATGTTTTAAAAGTTCTTGTGGCACACCAGTTGAAAATCGCTGTATAGAAGAATGCTAGAGTGGAAAGAGAAAGGCTAAAGCCTGGTCATTTTTTTTTCCTATATATTTTTTACATTGCCTACATTTCTCTACACATGGTCATGTCTGGTAATTTATTCTGTAACATCTTCCTTGGATACTTTGGGAACTAGTTGAAAGTAAGAAGGAACAGGTTATGTAAATCAAAAGACTCTTTTTGCATACCAACTGTACTTTTTCCCCCTCTAGCTATGACTCTAGTTTCATAACACAGAGCTAGAAGGAATGTGTGTGTATGGGTGTTAAAATTGTTTCAAGCCGTGGCTGGTATGGCTCAGCAGTAGAGCATCGGCCCTCAGACCAATGAATCGCGGGTTCGATTCCGGCCAAGGGCATGTACCTGGGTTGCGGTTTGTCCCAGCCCTGGTGCAGGAGGCAACCTGTCGGTCGATGTGTCCCTCTCATGTTGATGTTTCTCTCTCTCTCCCTTTCTCTCCCTCCCTCTCTATCTGAAGATAAATAGGAAAATGTCTTTGGGTGAGGATTAAAAAAAAATTGTTTCAATAATGGGAAAGTAAACATATGATTGAACAAATACAAGTAATTTTTATATTGCAATACATAAGCAGATCTCAGGAATGGTCCTATAATAATCTGTAATATGTAGGGATAAACTGTGCTTGGTTAAGAATTTAATAATTTTAATTTCCTAAAATACTATTTAATTTACATAGATTTGTAAAAGGGAAACTGCCACTTTGTGGTCACTTTAGAATCTTGTCTATATCTTTGATCAAAGCATAACCACTCTTGGAAGATGACATATTATGTTTAGACCTTCTAGAATGAGATCTTTCCCTGTTGCATTAATATTTATTTATTTCACGTACTCTGCTTTCTGTTGATGATCCTCACATGACCCATTCATGTGTTCACCTTGATAAAACTGAGTCCACCTATTTGAAATCTGACTCTAATGCCCTGGTCAGTGTGGCTCAGCGGTTGGAGCATTGGCCTGCGTACCAGAGAGTCGGGGGTTTGGTTCCCGCTAGGGACATGTACCCCCACTCCCCCCCCAAAAAAATCTGACCCTAACTTTCTGAAGTACCCGTTTCTTTAACATTATTTAATTATAGCCCTGGCCAGTTTGGCTCAGTGGTTAGAGCGTCGGCCTGCGGTCCGGAGAGACCCGGGTTCGGTTCCCGCTAAGGGCATGTACCTTAGTTGCAGTTTGTCCCTGGCCCTGGTTGATCGTGCGGGTGGCAGCCACTCGATGTGTCCCTTTCATGTCGATGTTTCTCTCTCTCTCTCTCTTCCTCTCTCTCCCTCCCATTCTATCTGTACAAAAAATGGAAAAATGTCCTCGGGTGAGGATAAAAAAAAAAAATTTAATTATAAAAGTAACACAAACAGAACCCATGGGGGAAAATCATGTAATACCAACATCTTAACACAACAGCTATAGTATTTTTCAAATATCCCCTTTTGATTTTTTTATATGCACATTTTATATACCAGTAAATCATAATTAATGAATAAATCTGCAATTCCTTTAAACAAAAAACAAAACGGTACTGATTCTTTTAAAACGTAAAATTTGAGTCCTGGCCGGTTTGGCTCAGCGGTTAGAACGTCGGCCTGTGGTCCAGAGAGACCTGGGTTTGGTTCCCGCTAAGGGCCTGTACCTGGGTTGCAGTTTGTCCCCAGCCTTGGTTGGTGGTGTGGGTGGCAGCCACTCGATGTGTCCCTTTCACGTCGATGTTTCTCTCTCTCTCTTCCTCTCTCTCCCTCCCACTCTATCTGAACAAAATAATGTAAAAAATATCCTCAGGTGAGGATAAAAAACAACAAAAAACTTATTTGAGATAGACCTGGTCTCTAGAGGACAATTAACACATGCACACTCCCACTTTTTGATGCTGGTGTAGTATTATAATAAAGTAACTGATAGTGTCATCAATGGCCTTAGAATTGCAGACTGCATTTGGATATCCTGCAATAACCCCTAATTTAAATAATGATGTTTTTACTCTCCTGATGGAAAAATAAAATTTTCGAAACAGGCAAGGACAAGAAAATGGAAGGGGAACATATAAGCCTTCTCCACCCATTGATAGGTTAAGCCTGCTTAAGTCACACTTGTCAAATTAGGTGATGGCAGTTTTCATACATCTCAGTGGTTAATGATTTTGTGTCAACCTAGACAATATTTACTTTTCAAGACACATATAACTTGCTATTTCATTCAGAGGTCAGTATTTATTTTTCCTACTCTTTTTTTTTTCTTTAATGTTTTTACTGATTTTAGAGAGGGAGGGAGAGAAAGAGAAACATCATGTGATTGATCAGTTGCCTCCTATTGAACCCACAACCTAGGCATGTGCTCTGACCGGAAATGGCAACCTTTCAGTGCATCAGACGATGCTCAACCGAGTCACACTGGCCAGGGCTGTTTTCCTATTCTTTTTGTGGAAAATAATGACCCGGAAGGTAGGAAATCAAAGTGTTTTCTTTTCAGAGAGGTTCAGCATTAGAAACCTACTCATAACATGGACACATTTTATAAAGATACACTGGGAAGTGTCTTACATCTATGCTTCACAAGTGCCAACAGAAATCTTACCTTGGATTGGGCACTCTTTACTGCAGCCAGACTGGGTGAATGTTAGTGCTGGCCCCAGGGTCCATGACAATGACTTCTTTTGTCATATGGTAGGTGGTTAGATATGCAGAGCTTCTGGAAACAGTGCAGATTGGAATGCAGTTCTAATTGTGCCAATGAACATGAGGATATTTGGCTTGTTTTTCAACCTACGGCTGACTCCCCCGCCCCCCCGCCCCCCATTTAAGGATCTCCTCTCCAATTCCCAGTCATCAGTAAGGATATGTAGAGAGGATGACAATTTATCTCAATAGCAGAATAAAACACAATCTGGAATCGAGAATATATATATCACAAACAATTTTTTTTTTTTTTTTACTTAATCACGACCAGGTTCTGCTTAATACTATGGATAACAGAATCCACTCAGACTACTTTTAAGCCTGATTTTAAACAATACTGTTGTCTTTGGGGATTTTAGCACCTCCTCGTTAATACTCAGTATCCTTTCACGGGGGAGGCGGGAGGGCGTGCGGACGGCCTCGGATGACAGGAGGCCGTCCTCCAGACCCTGCACCGCGAGTCCTCGGAGGAAGCCTCATGCAAAGGGCAAGGTCGCCATTTTATTTTGAACACAGAACCTGGCACGTGGCTGGTGCTCAGTGATGATGACGCGCCTCGGGAGCCCACCTACGTGCACATGGGCTGCATGGAAGAAGTCTGGGCCTAGTCGTTGGCCCTAGGAACCACTGGCCTATACCTGGAGACAAGACTTCCACAGAGCAAGATGAAAGGTAAACCTTAGCCGTCAGAACCCTCAATTCGTTACCCTCCACTGCAGCGAAACCTCGCGACCCGAGCCTCCTCGCCCACGCCCACGCGCCGGCCCCTTGCCCCCGCTGGCGAGGCAGAGCGCTCGGCACAGGTGAAGTTAGCAGTGAGGCGCACATGGGCGGCCGTGTGCTCTCGCGCGCCCAGACGGCGGCGGCAGGGCGCTTCCGGGGGCGCGCGGGCGCTGGAGCCCGCAGCGGCGCGAGGCCGGAGCGCGGCCCGGCGGGGCGGGGGAGGGGCGGTGGCGGCGGCGGGGCCGGGAGCGTGCGCGCGCACCTCACACTCCGCCGCCCGGGGACGCCCACTCGCGAGTCCGGGCAGTCAGGCCAGTCCGCGCCCAGCCGTTCCCCCGCCCCCGTTCCGGCGTGTGCCCAACGGGTGTGGGCTCCCGGCCGTGCGGCGCTCTCCCGACCTAGAGGCAGGGGACCAGGAGCCGGTCGTAGCCCCGCACCGCGTGGACGCGCCGCCTCTCCCGCAGGCGCCGTCAGCGAGTCGCTGCGAGGGACCGGAGGCAGCACGGAGGAGGCCCTCTCGGCGGCCGGGCCGACCTCTGCCCGCCCGAGGCGCGGCTGCTCCTGCGCGCCCGGGGCCGCCGCCTCGCCAGAGCTGAGCGAGGAATGAGCAGGCGCCGGCCCCGGGCTCTCGGAGCGAGGGGCCGCGGCTCGGCTTCGCCCCACGCCGCGGAGCCGCGGGGGCTCGGTGACCAAGCGCGGGCGCGGCGGGGGCAGCGGCAGCCTCGCTCGGGGGGCAGGCGGCGGGGTTAACTCCGCCGGCCGCCGGGAGGAGGAGGAGCCGGCGGGGGCGGCCTGCGCTCCCTCCCCCCGCACACGCCGGGGCTTCTCAGTGGCCGCCGAGGAGGAAGTTCCGCTCCCTGACAGCCGTGCGGTAGCAACAGCGGCTGCGGCGGCGGCGGCCGGGAGGGCGCCGGGACTTGGGACGCGGATGCCCTCCGCGCCGGCCGTCCACTGAGAGCGGCGCAGCTGTCCCCGATCCGGGGCCGGGGCCTCAGACCTCCTGCCACTCCGCCCAGCGCCGCTGCTCCGGCTGCCCGGCGAGGTGGGCGACAGCCCTCCCTGTTGGCCAACTTCCGAGGAGACCCTGATTTTGGCACGCCGGAGGTTGAGAGAACCTGGAATCGAAGCATCAGAGGAGGTGAAGGGAACCTTCTGTAACTGCTCGGGTCTGGCCAGGCTGCCTCCGGGGGCGGGAGACCACCCTGAGCGTCCACTGGGGTGCAGAATGGAGGGACCCACCTTGCATCCTTCCTGCGGCGTTGCTTGCCTGATCCACCCTCAGGCACGAGGAGGACACTTGTAAGAACCCCAATGAGGTCCTGAAAGCCAAATGGCAAAGACGGTATCACAGGACATAAACTGGTATCGTTTTGGGGGACACATTTTTGAATGTAATTGAGCAAGCGCGAAGAGGTGCCCTATTAAAAAGCACAACAATCTACGAGGAGAAAAATTGAATTTCCCCATTTCTGCCAAGATTTTGAAAACTGTTCTATGTATTGTACGTTTGATATAAGATGAGAACTTTATAAAATATTCTGTCCAAGAGCATAAACGATGACTACCCCAGCCTTGCTGCCTCTGTCTGGACGAAGGATACCACCTCTGAACTTGGGGCCGCCTTCCTTCCCCCATCACAGAGCTACCTTGAGACTTTCTGAGAAGTTTATCCTCCTCCTTATTCTAAGTGCCTTCATTACCCTGTGTTTTGGGGCATTCTTCTTCCTGCCAGACTCTTCAAAACACAAACGCTTTGATCTTGGTTTGGAAGATGTGTTAATTCCTCATGTAGATGCCGGCAAAGGGGCTAAAAACTCTGGAGTCTTCCTGATTCATGGACCCGATGAACATGGACACAGGTTTGTTTATTTCAGATGTTCTGGTATTAACATTGGCAGAGCAAGGTACGGTTTATTGACTCAGACTTGTGTGTTTTTTTTTTAATTTTCTTTTTCGGTAAAATGTAATTTTCGCTGAGTTGTGAGACTTATTTCAAAACTGGTTAAGTAGAACCGTAGACTGAAAGGGCTCCCAGAGTCCCATTTAAAGTCCAGCTTCTTTGTTTTATATAGGAGAAACATTTGTGTCCAGAGATAACCTAAAGAAATAGTGATATATGCTGTGCCTTCATTTATTAAGAATGTGTTGCGTTCAGTCATTGTGCCACCCAGTGAAATAGATATATTGAATCCTGACAGCTTCTGTGGGTTTGTCCTCTCCCAAAGGGCTCTCATTCTCTGACTTTGTAATTAAAGCTTGGTAGTGAATCTTAGCTTTTTAGGAAGACAAACATGCGTAGAATATACCTGTCATTTCTTAACATGCAAAAATATCCTGATGTTATTTTCAGGGGATGCATTTGGGTACTCCATATGGGATCAGTTAAGTTAAAGATGTCATTGAATCTTATGTTTTCACTTTGTGAGTCTTTTAGACAAGATTTGGTTATGTTTTTAAATTTAATTTTACCCTGATATACTTTTCTTTTTTTTAAATTGAGAGGTGGAGTGTGTCAAGTAACTTAGAAGATGCTCAATTAAAGAAATGGTTCACATTCTTTCAAATCACCAACTCTGAAGTGAGCTCTTGGGAGAATTTGGTCAAATTAGGATAAAATGGGAGCTCTAGTTACAGTACCTTTAAATCATTTATGTAATTTGTATCAAAAGAAGAGTTTGGGGAAGTAGTTTACATTTCTCAAACATACAACTTTTTTTAACCTGCTAAATCTTTCCTCTTATTTCTCTGTTAAAATAATTTTTGAATATGTGATAAAAATAATATGTTTGAGTTGTTTTCAGCTAACATTAGTTTTAACTTTTTATCAAGCACAAGGTTTTTGAGAAAGCTTGAGTTCAAATGTGAACCTAAATTAAATACTTAGGAACATGCACTGTTGTAATGAGAACTGGTTTTTCCTTTTTCTCAATCTTGTTAATTATTTGCTTGCTGATTCTTTGACTTTTGGCTGAACCCTATGAAGTAGCTACTTCTATAATTGTTTCATGCCATTATTTTGTAATCAGATGAATTTGGAATTTTTGCTGTGATTGTCAACTTCTGTACTTTTTTGTATTTCTTTCTTTTATTTTGCCTTTTGCCAAAGTTCTCATCTTTTTGTGAATTAGAGACAAATCTTATGTGGTCTGTGAAATATGTTGCTGAAAAATGAACACTGAAAGTAACCATTTTCCTTGAAAATTTTATTTCCCATGGTATTTATATAAGCTATGATAAACACTTGAAAAAATATTTTTTTGAGCTCTTTGACAACCATGCATTAACATTATTTAACTCAGTCTGTCTTATACTAAGCAGTTTCCCTTACATTTTAGGTTTAAAATACATATACATATACACATATACATTTACATACATATACACATACATGACAACCTAGTTTAAAAACATTCACATGGAAAAATTCTCAGTTAAATGGAATTAAGATTTAAAATTTGAGTGAAAATACAGATATGTACATTTTATTCACATTTTAAAAAGCCTAATTGTCTTAAACAAGAATTCTGAAATTTATATAGCCTGTGAACTCATGCTTATGCATTGCCTATCCAAAACTGTTGGGTTCCTGGAGTTTGGAGTGAGAAATTGGTTATTGAATTCTGATAGCAAAGGATAATAAATGAGCCAAATCCTGAGTTTTGGGTAGTGAGAGTCTGTGTAGCTAGTGATTTCTGTGAGCATTTATTCAGATCTATTTGGTTCCTGAGTTTTGGAAAGCAAGAATTCAAATAGCGAGAGTTCAGGTAGCAAGGTATCTCTGTGCATAAATTTCTGGGTTTTATCAGTTATTTTTATATTTTCTTAGATGTTATCAGTTTTTGCTTAACCGTATCTGAAAACACAGGCTATAATGATAAGAGTTTTTGTAATTTGAGCAATGAAGTACATTTCAAATTAGAGATGATTCAAACAATAAGTTCAAAATGTGAGATATAAAATATGAAATCATTTATAAACATTGACTCATTTAAAAATAAGTCAGAAAGATAGTATTTGAACAGAATTAGTTGGTACTAAGATCATACCTAATTTGAATGTGGGTCAAAAAACCATCTTTCTTAATTTGGAAAATATAAATTGATAATTTGTGTGTGTGGAGAAAGGTTCAGGATAGAGCGATGAGGATAAGTAATGGAAAATAAATCATGGCCGTTATGTTTTATTCACAGTATTTAAGAGAGACTTTTTGAATTGACTTTACTTTATTAATGAATTAGTTTATTATAGTAGTTAAGTGCTTAAGCTCTGGAGTTAGGCAGCATGGATTCATACCCTAGTTTGTTACTGATTAGATGTATGCTCTTAAGCAACTTTTTAAACTTTATACCTAAGTTGCTTCCTCTGGATGACAATGGCATCTACTTTGCAGATTGTTATATTGAATAAGATAGTACATATAAAGCTCTTAACAAAGTTCCGAGCATTTAGTAAATGCTCAGTAAATCTTAGCTATTATTATTAATTATAGTTTTTAAAAAACTTTTTAAATCCTCACAGAGGATATGCTTATTGATTTTAGAGAGGGGTAGAGAGAGTGACATAGTGAGAGAGAGAGAGAGTGAGAGAGAAAGAAACATTGATGGAGGAGAAAGCATCGATTGGTTGTATGTGCCACACCAACTGGGGATAGAACCTGCAACCTACGTATGTGCCCTGACCGGGAATCAAACCCACAGCCTTTCAGTATATGGACAACGCTCCAGCTGAGACACACTGGCCAGGGCAATAATTATAGTTTTAATTGTGAGCCTGCTTATCTTTTTTATTTTTATTTATTTTCATCCTCATTCGAGGACATTTTTTCACTCCTTGTTCAGATAGAGTGGGAGGGAGAGAGAGGAAGAGAGAGAGAGAGAAACAGCGGCGTGAAAGGTATACATCGAGTGGCTGCCACCCACACGACCTAACCAGGGCCGGAGACAAACTGCAACCGAGGTACGTGCCCTTAGCGGGAACCGAACCCGGGTCTCTCTGGACCGCAGGCCGGTGCTCTAGCTGCTGAGCCAAACCGGCCAGGGCTGAGTCTGCTTATCTTTAAATACTATACATGTTTCTGAAAAGTTGAGTACAGATTAATATTTTAAAAGTACATCGGAACCTGTTGTCTGAAGGAACATTTTATAACCAAACTAGTTAGCAACAAATATGTATTGCATGTCTACTGTGCGTCAGGCCCTGCTTTTATGGACCATCTTGTAGGGGGGCAGGTGAGGGGCATTAAATGAATAAATTTATTTTTGAGGTGTGATGAGTTATGAAATGGTTCTCAGTACTATCAAAGCACACACACTGTGTGTTTTAGCCTGTGGAGGCCCCAGGGTGGGGGTGGGGTGGAGGTGTGGGTGGTAGTGGAATAGGGAAGGCCTCCTTGAGGAAGCAGCTTGGAAACTTAGAGCCAAGTAGGAGATCTGTGAGTGAAGTATCAATGTGGGGGAAAAGTGGTTAACGCAGAGGACACGGTGTGTGTGAGCTCTTTAAAAAAAATTGTTTTTTCTGCCCTGGCCGGTTTGGCTCAGCGGTTAGAGCGTTGGCCTGCGGTCCAGAGAGACCCGGGTTCGGTTCCCGCTAAGGGCATGTACCTCGGTTGCAGTTTGTCCCCGGCCCTGGTTGGTCGTGCGGGTGGCAGCCACTTGATGTGTCCCTTTCACGTCGATGTTTCTCTCTCTCTCTCTTCCTCTCCCTCCCGCTCTATCTGAACAAAAAAATGGAAAAATGTCCTCGGGTGAGGATAAAAAAAAAAAAATTTTTTTTCTTTATTGATAATTAGAGAGAGAGAAACATTGATGAGAGAGAACATTGATTGGCCACCTCCTGCATGCCCCCCTCTGGGGATCAGACCCACAACCTGGGTATGTGCCCTGACCAGGAATTGAACTGGCGACCTCTTAGTGCATAGGTTGACACTCAACCACTGAGCCACACTAGCCAGACTGTATGTGAGCTCTTAGGTGAAAAAGCTTGGTGTCATTGAGGATCTGAAGAATGTTCAGTATGGCTGACGTAGAGATTGCAATGTGGGGCTAGGCGAAGAAATTAGAAGGGAGATCAGATTTGGCTTCCTTATTTTTGTTCCAAAAGTTTGAGTTTTAGATGCCAGTATTCACATATAGGAGATTTCATATAAAAGTCTGAACTTCAGATCTCTCTTGAAAAATTAGAGGATATGGCAGCACCCAAGTCTCTGTATTTTCAGAGGGTAGCACCCAGCAGGATCTGGGTAGCAGCTACTATCTCTAGTGGGATACGTGCTCCTCACTTTATGCCACTCAGTTAAGTTGCCAGATAAGTAAATCTAATGAACCAATATTTAACCTGGTTGTTGTTGAGTTCAGAATCTCTACGCAGGATCCTGGAGAGTTTGTAGTTAAGTGTTTCTGTGGGAAGTCATTGAAGGGTTTTCATTAAAGCAAGAGAATGACATAGTTATTGAAAAATAAAAAATGAATCACTTTACTTGCAGTGTAAACACTGGATTGGAGAGGAGCAGGAGGAGATGTAGTGAAATCAGGAGGTTTCTAGGTCACAGAGGATATTGGCTTAGACCACATTGGTGATAGTGGAGGAGAAAAATTAGTAGAGAAAAGTGGGTGATTCAAGAACTGTTAAACTGTTAAGTTTCCCAGAAATTGGTGGTTAATTGAATATAGGGCGTGAGGTAGGAGGACGAGGGAGTCCAGGATAATTCCTGGTTTCTGGGTGATATGGCTGTGGATTGCTAAGAAATATATATTTGAATTTATATAATTGATATTACATGAATTCGAGATAAAGTATTTTCATCAGAAAACCTGTATGTTCACTTCTATTCAGTGGTTCATAAATAATTCAGAGTTTACAA